ATAGAACACAGACAACAGCAAATAGCAGTAGAGATAGACCAGCAGAAAGCGCAGATGAAATTGAATGGTACAATGGGCTGTTAATAACTACACTGAGAGCAATGGGTGGTGGGGCTTTCAAAACCTGGGTTACACACTTACCAAAAGCCACCTGGTTGGTCAACACCAGAGGATCTGTCCACAGGGCTGGCCCAGCCCAGTCAGAACTTTTACATACTGTAGAGGGGGATAAAGTTCCTGTAGTGCACATAAAGAATTTGCTGGGAAAGACAGTCTGGGTTATTCCTGCTCCAAGTAAAGGCAAACCTACTCCTGGGATTGCTTTTGCTCAGGGACTTGGGTATACGTGGTGGGTAATGCGGGAAGATGGGAAAGTCCGATATGTACCTCACAGGGATTTGATTTTTTGGGGAAAACAGCCAATGAACTCAAGTATATGTCTTTGCGTGCTATACAGCACATTTATAGCCCACCAACTAGATGTCTTCAGGTCACCAGCGACTGGCCCTGACATCCCTCCGACCATCATCCCAATAAAGAATGAAATTTGACAAAACCATCCAAGCTCAGCAGTCACAAGATGAGTTTGGCAATGTCATCAGCAGGCAACAATCCAACACTACACAATGTCTCTCCTGCCCTGAAAGACTTTTACAAGATATGGAGCCCGAAATCATTGACCAGATAAAATCAGCAGCTTTATAGGGATTGGTCCATGCACTAAGTAATGATATCTCTCTCTTTGTGTGTGTATGTGTATATATATATATATATAACACAAGCGTGATGGTACATTGAAAAATGTGGGATCTGAGCATGACTTGAATGATATGGAATAAGGGGTGGATACTGTCCTGGGTTCAGTAGTAGCAGTCATTTTTCTCCTTCTTAGTAGCTGGTGCAGCACTGCATTTTTGACTTTCACCCTGGGAACAACACTGATAACACCGATGTTTTTAGTTGTTGCTCAGTAATGTTTATTCTGGCCAAGGACTTTGTGAGTCTCATGCTCTGCCAGGGAGGAGGGGTAGCCGGGAGGAAGCAGAGACAGGACACCTGACCCAAACTAGCCAAAGAGGTATTCCATACCACAGCACGTCATGCCCACTATACAAAGTGAGGGCAGTTACCCGGAAAGGCTAGATTGCTGCTGGGGTCAGGCTGGGTATCAGTCAGCGGGTGGTGAGCGGTTGTATTCTCTTCCCTTGTTATTTCCCTTATCCTTCTTATTATTGGTGGTAGCAGTAGTGGTTTTGTGTTATACCTTAGTTACCGGACTGTTCTTATCTCAACCCGTGGGAGTTTCATTCTTTCGATTTTCCTCCCCATCCCTCCGGGAGTGGGAGGAGGAAGCAGGGGAGTAAGTGAGCAGCTGCGTGGTTCTGAGTCACCGGCTGGGCTTTAACCACGACAGTATGGTAGAACTGCTGCTCTCCTGTTAGGAGTTAACTGAAAATTATAAAAAGAATGTATATTTCTGTAGTTGGAAGAGATTTTTAGTAACTCTTACGGGTAAAACAGAGAAACTATTCTGAAATAAAACATTACATGATCTCATAAAAGTATATTGCCCTCACTTTCATGATGGAAGTTTTTTTTTTAACATTCACTCTTAAATCCATTAAAGGGACTTTCTCAATATTTTGAGGTGTGTAACGTCTATAAATGTGAAATGGCATCTGCAATTTAATTTGCACTTGAAATAGAGAGTTGGTTTTGTTTTTGTTTTTGTTTTTTTTTTAATAGAACTGGCTTGACAATTGTCTGGAAGCTGAGTAGAACAATGTATGAGGTAACTGAATGATTGCTCTGTTAAACTGGCTGTTGCTATTTTGTGCTTATGTAAAATGATTTTGAAGTTTCATGCATGTGCTTAAAGCACCATTGATTTGTGTAGAAATTGCTAACACACTTGGCACTGGTCTTTGCCAAATATCTTCAGGCAGTCTGGTCATGTTAGAATCTTCTCATTCTGATTATTTACATACTTTGTATATTATCGTGGTCATTAATCCAGTGCCTTTTGGGATCAGAGGTGGAGAAAGTGTTGTCTTATCTGTTGTTAAAAAAACATTTTTACAAAGAATTTTTGATTTATGAAAACTTTTGAGCACCTTACAGATTTAGAATATCCATAAATTAAAATTTTGAGTGTCTTGAAACATTGGAAAACAATGTGTTCTGTAGAAGTGTATTTCAATACTTCTGCAATAACTCTTATTCTGTAATACTCAGTATTGAGTGCTTCCACAAAATATTTGAATAGCCACCAAGATCAGAATGCTGTGGTGTTGTCAGAGATAATGTGCATGCGTTTTCTCTAGATATAGTTTGCCCATCTTGCTATGGCTTTATTATAGCATAAACAGATGATCCCACTAAGCTTTTCACAGTTGGGATAATCATATTTGAGCTGTTGAATCACAGAATTGTTAAGATTGGAAGGGACCTCTGGAGATCATCTAGTACATGCACACACACACACACACACCTGACAAGGCATGGCAATCTAGAGCAGGTTACACAGGAATGCCTCCAGGCAAGTTTTGAATGTCTCCAGAGAGGGATACTCCACACCCCCCCTGGGCAACCTGTCCCAGTACTTGGCCACCCTCAACATAGAGAAGTTCTTCCTCATGTAGAGGTGAAACTTCTGTTTTAGTTTATGGCCATTGCTCCTCGTCCTGTCACTGGGCACCACGGTCAGCCCCCAACCTCTACTGGTACTTGGAGTTCTTCCTTCCTAGGTATAGTACCCTACACTTGCCCTTGTTCAACCGCATGATGTTTCCCTCTGCCCAATTCTCTAGCCTATCAAGGCCCCACTGAATGGCAGCACAGCCTTCAGGTGCATCAGCCACTCCCACCAGCTTCATTTCATCAACAAACTTGCTGAGGCTACACTCTAGCCGTTCATCTAGGTCACAAGTTGAATAAGACTGGAGCCAGTATTGATCCAAGGGGAAAACCACTGACTGCAGGCCTCCAACTGGATTCTACTGATCACGACCCTCTGAGAGAAAAGGAGGCAAAGTAGAGAAAAGAAGGCAAAGGAGAGAAAAGGAAAAAAAAGGATGGAAAGGCAGAGAGAAGGAGGGAAAAGTAGAGAACAGGAGGCAAAGGAGAAAACAGGAGGCAAAGCAGGCAAAGCAGGCAAAGAAGGCAAAGGAGGCAAAGGAGGGAAAAAGAGAGAAAAGAAGACAAAGGAAGCAACGGAAAATAAGGAGCAAAAGGAGGAAAAAGAGAAAAGGAGGAAAAGGAGGGAAAGCAGAGAAAATGAGGCAAAGGAGAAAAAAGAAGGCAAAGAAGAGAAAAGGTGGTAAAAAGGGCAAAGGACGGGAAAAGAGGCAAAGGACGCAATGGAGAAAAAGGAGGCAAAGGAGGGAAAAGGAGGAAAAAAGAAAAGGAAAGGAAAAGAGGCAAAGGAGGCTAAGGAGAGAAAAGGAGGCAAAACAGAGAAAACAGAAAAAGTGGCAAAGTAGAGAAGAGGAGCGAAAAGGAGGCAAAGGAGAGAGATGTAGTCAAAACAGAGAAAAGGAGGCAAAGGAGAAGAAAAGACATGAAGGGAGAAATAAAAAGAGAAAAGGAGTCAAAGGAATGGAAAGGAGGTGAAGGAGGCAAAGTACACAAAGAAGGCAAAGTAGAGAAAAGCAGAGAAAAGGAGGCAAAGGAGGCAAAGGTGAGGAAAGAAGAAAAGGAGGCAAAGTAGAGAAAACAGGAAAGGAGGCAGAGAAAAGGAAAGAAAAGGAGGCAAAGTAGAGAAAAGGAGAGAAAAGGAGGCAAAGTAGAGAAAGGGAGAGAAAAGGAGGAAAAGGTGAGGAAAGAAGCAAAGAAGGCAAAGGAGGCAAAGGAGAGAAAAGGAACGAAAAGGAGAGAAAAGATTACAAACTAGGCAAAGGAGAGAAAAGATTACAAAGGAGGCAAAGGAGAGAAAAGGAGACACAGGTGGCAACAGAGAGAAACGGAAGTAAAGGAGGCAAAGTGGAGAAAAGGAGAGAAAATGAGGCAAAGGAGAGAAAAGGAGGCAAAGGTGGCAATGGTGAGAAACGGAAATAAAGGAGGCAAAGGAGAGAAAAGGAAAGAAAATGAGGGAAAATGAGGCAAAGGAGTCAAAGGAGGAAAAGGGGAGAAAAGTAGAGAAAATTAGAGAAAAGGAAGTAAAGGAGGCAAAGTAGGCAAAGGATGCAACAGAGGAAAAAAAGAGGAAAAGGAGAGAAAAAGAAAGAAAAGCACAGAAAATGAGACAACGGTGAGAAAAGTACAGAGAAGGAGGGAGAAGAAACGGAGGAAGGTTATAACGAAGGCAAAGGTGGCAAATCAGAGAAAAGGAGGCAAAGGAGAGAAAGGGAGAGAAAGAAGGAAAAGGAGGCAAAGGAGGCAAAGCAAAGGACAGAAAATGAAGCAAAGGTGAGAACAGGAAGCAAAGGAGAGAAAAGGAGGCAAAGGGGAGAAATGGAGAGAAAAGGAGAGAAAAAGAAAGAAAAGGAAAGAAAAAGAAAGAAAAGGATAGAAAAAGAGGCAGAGGAGAGAAAGAGATGCTAAGAAGGCTGAGGTAGCAAAGCAGGGAAAAGGAGAGAAAAATAGGCAAAGGGTAGAAAAGGAAGCAAAGGAGAGAACATGAAGCAAAGGAGAGGAAAGGAGGTTTCTTTTGCTGACTGTATATTTTCTGTGTATTAATAGACTAGTTGTGATTCTTTATTGTGTTGCGTTTCTCTCAACCCGGAATCCTCGAACTCTAGAACAACAAGGCAAAGGAGGCAAAGTAGAGACGAGGAGAGAAAAGGAGGCAAGGAAGAGAAAAGGAGAGAAAAGGAGGCAAAGCAGAGAAAAGGGGAGAAAGGAGAGAAAAAGAAGTCAACAGCAAACAAGAACAACAAGGCAAAAGAGGTAAAGTAGAGAAAAGGTGAGAAAATGAGGCAAAAGAGGGAAAAGGAGGCCAAGGAGGCAAAGGAGGCAATGTAGAGAGAAGGAGAGTAAAGGAGGCAAAGACGACAAAGCAGAGAAAATGAGAGAAAAGGAGAGAAAATGAGGCAAAGGATGGAACAGGAAGCACTGGTGAGAAAAGGACAGAAAAGGAGAGAAAAGGAGGCAAAGGGTGGAACGGGATGCACTGGTGAGAAAAGGAAGCAAAGGGGAGGAAAGGACGCAAAGGAGGAAAATAAGGGAAAGGAGGCAAAGGAGAGAAAAGGATCAAAAATGACTCAAAAGAGGGAGAAGGAGGCAATGGATGCAAAGTAGAGAAAAGGAGGCAAAGTACAGAGAGGGAGAGAAAAGGAGGAAAATGAGGCAAAGGAGGCAAAGAATAAAAAAGGAGAGAAAAGTAGGCATAGTAGGCAAAGAAGGCAAAGTAGAGAAATGGAAGCAAAGTAGAGAAAAGGAGGCAAAGTAGAGAAAAAGACAGAAAAGGAGGCAAAGGAGGCAAAGTAGAGAAAAAGTCAGAAAAGGAGGCAAAGGAGGCAAAAGAGAAAAGGAGGCAAAGGAGGAAAGTAGAGAAAAAGAGAAAATCATTCAAAGGAGACAAAGGAAGCAGAGGAGAGAAAAGGAGAGGAAAGGGGAGAAATGGAAGAAAAGAGAAAAAGGAGATAAAAGGAGAGAAAAGGATAGAAAAGGAGATAAAAGCAGAGAAAAAGAGAGAAAAGGAATGCTCCATCCCTGGCAGTGTTCAAGACCAGGTTGGACACAGCCTTAGGTGTCATGGCTTACTGTGAGGTTTCCCTGCCCATGGCAGGGGGGTTGGAAGTAGATGATCTTGAGGTGCTTTCCAACCCCGACTGTTCTATGATTCTATAAAGGAGATAAAAAGAAGTCAAAAGAGAGAAAAGGAGAGAAAAGGTGAAAAAGGAGAGTAAAGGGGAGAAAATGAAAGAAAAGATTCCAAAGGAGGCAGAGGAAAGAAAGGGAGGCAAAGGTGGCAACAGAGAGTAAAGGAGGCAAAGGAAACAAAGGAGAGAAAAGGAGCTAAGGAAGGCAAAGGAAGCAAAGGAGAGAAAAGGAGGTTAAGGAAGCAAAGGAGGAAAAGGAGAGGAAAGGACAAAAGGAGGCAAAGGAGGTAAAGGAGAGGAAAGGACACAAAGGAGGCTAAGGAGGCGAAGGAGAGGAAAGGAGCCAAAGGAGGGCAAAGAAGGCAAAGGAGAGGAAAGGAGCCAAAGGAGGGAAAAGAAGGCAAAGGAGAGGAAAGGAGCCAAAGGAGGCAAAGGATGGAAAGTAGGCAAAGGATTGAAAAAGGGGGCAAAGGAGCCAAAGGAAAGAGAAGTAAGAAAAAGGAGGGTCATTTACTTCTTCCAATAATCTTCATCACTTCTGGCAACCTTTGAAGCATGCGCAGTAGATGCTCATACCAGTTTAATTGGTTCTTTATCACCAGAGACATAATAATCCTCCTATCCTCCTACTTATCAGTCCTGGACACCTGCGGTTCCCAGATACTCCTTATCCCTGTGTCCTGTTCTTATCCCTGTGTCCTGTTCTTCTAGACTGTTTTTCTTAAACTATGCCACAACTATAACTATTTATCTTGTGAGAATTCTCAGTATGTTCTCTATCTGTACTCTATTTTTTTCTCTATGTATCATGCACCTCAGTAATTTTCCATTGCTACTGTTACAAAGCCATCAAACTTAACATTACTTAAAACTAATTCTAAAGGTTTCTATATTCCATTTTGCAAAGAGCACAGAGAGCAGCAGACACCAGAAGAAAACAGATGAAAAGAACAGAGAGCTATGCCTGCATCAGAGAGTGCATACAGGGGTAGACTGGTGCAGACAGCAGCAGAGAGCTCAGACTGCAGCAAAGAGCACAGAGAGCAGCAGACACCAGCAGACAGCAACCAAATTCAGCAGAGAGCAGAGAGGAGAAGATAGCATAGACAGCAGCAGAGAGCAGTAGAGAGCCCAGACCAGACAGCAGTAGAAATAAGCAGACAGCAGCAGATAGCAGCATATCTTGTATACAGCAGCAGAGATAGCAGAAAGCAGCATACAGCCGCCAACAGCAGCAGAGAAAAAAGACAGCAGCATACAGCAGCCAACAGCAGCAAGAAGACAGCAGCAGTGGCCAATAGAGAGCGCAGAACAGACAGCAGCAGAAATAAGCAGACAGCAGCAGATAGTAGCATATCTCATATACAGCATCAGAGATAGCAGAAAGCAGCATATAGCAGCCAACAGCAGCAGAGATAGAAGACAGCAGCATACAGCAACCAACAGCAGGAGCAGACAGCAGCAGTGAGTGCAGACTGCAGTGAAGAGTACAGGGAGCAGCAGGGAGCAGCAGATAGCACAGACAGCAGCAGAGAGCAGCACACAACTGTAGAGAGCAGCAGAGAGTGCACACAGCAGAAGACAGCAGCAGACAGCACAGACAGAAGCAGAGAGCATAGGCAGCAGTGGAGAGCACAGGCAGCAGCAGATAGCCTCATAAAGCTGTAGATAGCAGGGATCGCAGACAGCACACAGAAGCAAACAGCAGCAGATGACAGAGAGATTGAAGACTGCAGGAGACAGCAGCAGACAGCAGCAGAGTGCAGGCAGCAACAGACAGCAGCAGATAGCAGCAGATAGCAACAGATTTCAGCAGAGGCAGACAGCAGCAGAGAGCGCAGACAGCAGCAGAGAGAGCAGACAGCAGCAGAGAGAGCAGGCAGCATAACAAGGCACAGACAGCAGCAAGCAGCAGCAGACTGCAGGTGATAGGAGGTGAAAGCAGCAGTGAGCACAGAGCAGCAGACAGCAGCATAGGGCACAGACAGCAGCAGAGAGCTGGGGCATATTATGACATGGACTCAGGTTGGTGAGGATACTGAGACAAAGGTTTATTACAATCACGCACTTTTATCCCGTTGTTTGGTACTTTCCCAACATGCACGAACATGTCACGTTCAATCTCATTGGCTTCTGTAAAAAAAACCCAGGTTAATAGTCCAATCCCAATGATGATCACGCACTGTTCACACAACGACAGTTTCGCCTACTTGCATCACTCCTTGTCAAATCCTCCATGTCCTCTGGCCTTCAATTGAAATTCTTTGCTACAACAACATCCTGGCTTATCACTCTAAGGCTTGTTTGGTTACATTTTCTGTCTTTCAACATTCCAACTTATCACCCCAAGGCTTGTTCAGTATCAAGGCCTCAGAGCTTGATTTCAGAGTGTTGATCAAGCTCATCACGCAAATCCTATCGAATTCAGATCCCTCATCTCCCCCTTCTTTGTTTTGTACATCTACTATCAATACCTGCTTTAGATGACCCTACTTGAGCAGGGGACTTGGACAGGATCATCTCTTCTGCCAACCACAGGCTGCTTGGCCTGCCCTTCTCTCCTGGATGTCTCTCTGATAACAGGGGAGGCCATCCCTCACATCAAGGTCTGGCATGGCATGTGTCCTCGCCGCTCCATGCCTGCTGGGTTGCAGCCAACAGTGGAGCTAAAGGTTCTTCTTGGCGTCAAGTGCAGAGGCCAACCCAGTCTTGCCCTTGAGTCTGGTAGGAGGCATTTGGCCAACCTCAGTCCTTGCACCCAGTTGTCAATGTAGAGTTTCACCTGCCTCATTCAGTAACAAATTGCTACTAGGCAAAGCACACACAGATTTACATTAGCAGTATAACTACTACAGGGTGCAGCAGCATGTTGAAGATGCTGATGGCAGTGGTGGACCAGCCAAAGAAAATTTCCCACCAGTGGGGTTCTCCCACTCTCTTAATTGGTTCCATTCCCTGCTTTATAACAATACCATCATATTAGAATCCTTCTTGCTTAGTATTTTCTAGCAGCTGCTGCAAATTTGCATGCTTTAACATGTGACAAATGCATACAATACAAGGTGTAGTTTCTTATTAGCAACTGGCTAGTAAATACACGTGGTTTATACACAAAATCACAGCTTCTACATAATAGCTATGTTGCAAGCACACATATTCAAGTTGTTACTTTTCAGTTGCCCTCAAGTGATGTTTTGCAAATCATTCCTTTTTCTCTTCCTCTATCTCATTCAGCTCAGGGTATTCGCGGTCAGCTCCTGCAGCTGAGGCATTGGGTTCATCAACTCATCTATCCAACTCATGGTATGGCTTGACAAAATTTGCAGGCAGCCACCATGGACCTGTAGGAAGACACAAACATACCCCCTCCTCCAGGTTATCAGTTCTTGAGAAGAAGATAGGTTAAAGTGTTTCTTTAAAGCAGAGGCATTCTGATGGAAAAGGAATGTGAAGCAGCTGCAGAAGTAAACTGCAGAGTGTTAACAGTCAAGGAGTTTGCTGTGTCATTACCCACAGTTAAAGGGCCAGGCAGGTTGGAATGAGACCTAATATGACCAATAAAACCAGAATAATTAGTGAATTATCTTACATTTTAAACATAGGAGATGCTCCGGCTCCTTCCTTTTTCACATCTGCTTCATCTCTGGTATTTGATTCTGACTCACTGGTACCCCAAATATTCCATATCTCTGGGTCCCAATCTGGTTGGGTTACTACTGCCTGTTCCTGCGGTCCCGTGTCCGTACCAGGCTTTGGGCGTATCCATCACTGCCGTGTACCCCGCACGGCATATGATGTTGCAGATGAGCAGAGAGCACTGCCAGCAGCAGAGAGCAGCACACAACTGTAGAGAGCAGTAGAGAGCACAGACAGCAGCACACAACAGCAGACAGAAGCAGACTGCAGAGAGACTGTGGACAGCAGCAGATGGAAGCAGAGAGCACACAAAGCAGCAGAGAGAGCAGAGAGCAGCAGGGAGTAGCAGTAAACATACACAACAGCAGAGAGCAGCAAATAGCAGCAGAGAGCACAGACAGCAGGAGAGAGCAGCAGAGAGCGCAGACCGCAGAAGATAGCAGACGACTGCAGCACAAAGCAGCAGACAGCAGCAGACAGCAGCAGAGAGCAGACAACAGCAGCAGACAGCAGCAGACAGGAGCATAGACGCCAGACAGAAGAGAGAACAGAAAGCCGGTGAAAGCAGCAGAGGCTGTAGGCTGCAGCAGAGATAAGAGAGCACAGGCAGCAGCAAGCAGCAGTACACATTAGTAGAGTAGCAGAGATCACAGAAGCAGACAGCAGGTGACAGTAGGTGAAAGCAGCAGAGTGCAGACAGCTGCAGACAGCAGCAGACAGCAGCAGAAAGCAGAAGACAGCAGGAGAAAGCAGCAGGAGAAAGAAAAGGCAACAGCAGATATCAGCACAGGGCTGTAGACAGCAACAAAGAGATCAGACAGCAGCAGAGAGCAGCAGAGAGCACATAGAGTATCAGAGAGCAGGCGACTTCAGCACACAGCAGCAGACAGTAGCAGACAGCGCAGACAGCAGGTGACAGCAGCAGACAGCGCAGACAGCAGGTGACAGCAGCAGAGAGTGCAGGCAGTAGCAAGGAGCAGCACACAGCAGAAGGGAGTAGCAGAGATAGCACACAGCAGCAGAGAGCGCAGCCAGCACCAGGGAGCAGCACAAAGCAGTAGAGAGAACAAACAGCAGCAGACAACAGCAGAGAGCAGATAACTGCAAACAGCTGCAGACATTCACAGACATTGGCAGATAGCGCAGACAGCAGAAGAGCGAGCATGTAACA